TGGTATCCGTATGTCTTGTAAACCTTCCAAAATATGTTGTTCCTCAATGTGTCTTATTTATTTTGTGTTTCAGAGCTGCTCCTTATGATGTCCAACCAAATAGAGGTTCTGAATTCACCGGAGGTAATTACTTACAAGAATGTGTTGTACATATAGTTTATGGCTAGCTCTTTTAATGCTTCAAATATGGATGTGCTTCTGAATCAAAAGAGTGTTCTCCCCTAACTCATTTAGTGGTTTTCCATCACCAGCTGGGCATGCAGCATTGCTTTTTCTTAGTGTTATGCTAATGCAGCTTTTGATTTTAATTTGTAGTTTTTTTCTCTCTATGTATGTTTGCATGCTTATGATAGGAAAATATGCATGTAGCCGATCCCAAAATTAGTTTGGATACTATGGCTTGTTGTTGGTATTGTACTTGATCAACTGAGTAGATGAGATTAACAACACTGCTTGTGTTTCAATTCTCTTTCCCATCTTAATGTGATTGTTGTCCTATTTATACATATTTATATGAAGTTTTAGTACTTGATATTTGCCCAAGAATGTGCACTGAGATAGTAGTCTTTATCATGAAATTTTGTAAATTACATTTACATGATTTATGTTCTTTTCTAAGAGGACTAGTGTTGATGCCACTTCAACTAAAATTGTTCCTTAATCTAAGTGACCAAGGTTCAAAAACAATCTGTCTGCTTGTAAAGTCAAATTGGTACATTAATATTTTCTATACTCCACATTTGATCCTTCTAATAATGTTCTTATAGCGAGTTTTTATCTATTGTTGGTGTGATATCTATTAAAATAATGGTGAAACAATATTGATAACTCTGTACACTTAAAAGTTTAACGATTATATAGTTTTTTATTATATTATTATTTTAATATAATATTTGAAAATTATGTGTTAGATATTTACGTTTTATGAAAATTTACCATTTTTATTAATTATAATATTTAAATTCAAAATATTGAATTTTTTATAATTTTAAATCAACATTGTTGTCATTATTAATTATTAATTATAGTTGAAAGCTAACCATATACATTTTCTAGTTACTATTTTGATGTTATGAATAGTTTTCACTCATTTTGATATTTTTGTACAACATTGTTATATAATGATATTAATGACAATTTTTCTTTATTTGTCTTAATTCTATAATTTTTTGTAATTTTGTGTTATGTGCAGTATATTCTATTTATTATTTAATGCTCTTCTTTGTTTATTCCTCAGTTTGGATTATTTTCAGCTGGTGAACATCTCTAATTGTTAATCTTTTGTTGAACCATTCATGCTTGAAAAGATTGGTGCCATTGAATGGTTGCAATCTTCTTGTTGGAAGACTACAGATTTCAAGCTAAATGAACTGGTTGGAAGGATTCTCATCCAGTCAGTTAAATAGTTTGGGGCTGTTTCCAATTATGGTTGGAAACCCTGCTTACCCAGGTTGCAAAGGTGCAACCTAGCTACAACTGCAAGTCTTCAGTCTCCTACTCTCCTTTTTCTTTCTCCTCTTCTTTTTCCTCATTCTGCCAACAAGCAACATATTTCTCCTTTTTGTTCTCCTCCATCTCTCTTTCTTCTATGTTGGCTTAAATAAAGTCGGATGGGACCTAGGATCAAGGATTTCAATTTCTTTTCTGCTGCAGCATCAGAACATGGTAATCCTAAACCAGATATGGATTGGGCAATTTTTCAGACCATGGGCAAGTTTATATAGTTTCTAACTGGAATTATAATTACTTGGGGAACATCATGTATGCTTGAAATTTTTTCTGTTGTTTGAACTTTGAACTGTTGCATTTACAATTCTAATTCTTACGATACTGATCTTTTTCTTGGATTCGAAGATTGATGACAAGGAAATGTCTTAGAGATTTAGGTAACTTTTGAAACCTGGCTTTGACGCTTGTTCTGATATGGTGTGTAAAAACATCATGCCTACTGGATGGTAGCGTCAAAGGATGGATGTGCAGCTAATTTAAAAACTGAGCCTTGATTGTCTGTGTACATCGACAAAGATATGGGCTCTGCCAGTAATGGAATGAGATTGCTGCATATCATGTCTTCCACTAGAAATTTACTGACATTGCTGTGGCATTTTAGACCCACATTCTGTGTGCATGGTAGACCTCATGGTACTTGAATAGGCACTTGGAGCACAAGTAGAGTTACCTCTGATTGGCTTTTTCTGGATGAGTTCCTGGGCTTTGTTGTTACCTAAACTCTTTCCCCACTAATATTTTTTTTGCATAAAATTAATTTTGTAAATTGTTAATGCTTCTATGTACATGTTAGTTAAGTAACTTAATCTTCTTAGAATGTTCTAAAAAGCTGCATAATGGACTATCCAAGTTGATGCACTCAAAGTTTAGATTGCATCTGAACAATTGATACACATTTAGCCTGGGATTATCTTTGACTATAGCAACTGACAATTTTTGTTCTTTGAAAATCCTAATTAAGATATTACTTTATCAAGTCATAACAAATCGCTGAAGAACATTTTGAGTTGGGGAGACAAAGGCTGTGAAATTATACAGGGAACTTATATCCATGCTCTAAATCGAATAAAACTAATACTTCTCGTTTTTTAATAAATTCATTGACTATTAATCAAGTGTTTTAATGTTGGCTATTCTTCTAAAATGTCCTTGGTTCTTATTTCCTCTTTAGCATATTTACTGCTTATTTACATTTTACATCTAAAAGTTTTCCTTTTTGTTCTGTTTCAGGACTATCAGCAACTCAAACATCCTTCCCCGTGTATTCGAGCTCAACTGGTTACCAGGTATTAAGTCTTAGTTAATTTATCATTATGAAAAACTATTTAGCTTTACCTTAATGATATTGTCACACAAGAATGGATAATGGTAAGGTCTGTTTGATAAGAAAATCATTGTTTGATAATGTTGTTCATGGCATAAAATAATATACCGATGATACCAGATGTGCCATCCATAGGTGCCACTGGTACATGGACCAACCTAAACCTGATGGTAATTCCTTGTACCAATTGAACTGCTCGATATTAAATAATATACCCTGCTGTTGAGTGGTCTGAGGAATATCGACCAAACAGATCAATATCTTTATTCAGATAAACCTGGTTCATTTATATCAAGAGAAGTGATTTGGGATCAGTTGAGGGATATGATATTTATGGGAGTAATTAGAATTTAACTGGTCCATTGCTGATATTTCAACGCTTTGAGCCATAAATCGTGATGAAGTGAGCAGCAAGGAAGAAGATCCTGCCATCAACATCATGCTTAGACTTCTACTATTATAATTTATCATTTTTTATGCTGGTTCTACCTTTGTTTTTTCTTGAGTTTTTTTTTCCTTTGTTCTTTTGCTGGATGCTATTGGTACGTCAAGTTTACTGATCCATCAGAAAGCTGAATTGGATGTCACATGTCACATCCATGTCATTTTTGTTTTGGACATGACACTTGTCTAATACCTACCAACACATCCTGGGTACTTCAGAACATATTATTTGCTCTTGTATGATTGACACATTTATGTTAATTGAAGATGTTTTTTATTCTATATGAGGTTTCAAAACTACAAATTTGGCATGCAAATTTGAGTGTTGATTTACTGCATGTTTTGTATACGTGTTTGAAGTAGTTTTGTGACTTTTGCAACTCAGATGAATACTTAGCATACTTCTTATAAATTATATATAATGATTAAATTTTATTCAAGTTATACATATCATCTGCTGATTCAATGTTATGTTGTGACCTACTTACGAAAAATTCACTGTGGTGGGGTCCCTACTCCCTACTATGTCATGTCATGGCCTATAATCAGAAACTAATCTAAAAAACTAAAGAATCATTAATATGAAAAATAGGAAAAGATAATTGGAAAAATATCATATACTGTGAATTATCAATATATACATATATCTAGAAAATTAGTTTGGTTACAGAGATTTATTTGGAGAATTATTTCATCCGTTGATCGATTCAAGTGTTTTTCAATAACTTTTTAGAGCATTTTTACTATGGTTAACATGACTACCTGAAAAAATTATATGAAAACAATGCTATTACTGAATAATTCTGAATGTGGATTTATGCAGGCAGTGTTATGGTGGGAGAATTTACCATATTTTCCAATTTATTTGCAAATTTGAGTTGTCAATCTTATAGACATTTTATCATGATTAACTATGTCGGACATTACCTGATCTCTTGGCTGCTGGCAGGGTGGTTATGCTTATCCTAGTATCGGAGCGTATCCTGGTCGCATTAACCACGCACCTCGCGGCTATTACTGACGCACATAGTCTGCATCTGGTCATTGATTGTTCTGAAGGTGGCCTGTTGGCAGACACACTGAATGATTAAGATTTCTAAAAGGTGATAGCTACTCCATAAGATCTTTTTGTTTCACCTTGATAGTGTATCATCTTAAAGGGGCTGAAAGCTTCCATTTGTCTCGATTAATGGTCACTCTCAAGATTTACCAGTGCAAACAAGCCATTGAGTTTTTTTGTTTATTGCCATCTGTGCTTGTGCTGGGACTAAAATGCTTGTGGCTTCATGAAACACAGTTGTTGTATAGGGAACATGATATCTGGGTTTATGTATGGAATCTGGTTGCAGTATGCTGCTATAGTTGTTACTCTACATTGCGACACAAATTTCGAAGTTCAAATGGTATAAAGTTGTCAACATGGGATGCTTTGATAGTTTTTGCACATCATTTTTTGGAGATAAGTGGCCCGTAGCTAAGCTTCGATGACGATCGTGTGGCTTCAGGAACAGGTTCGTTTTCACCTCTTCTTTTTCTTATAAAATTGTTCCAGCCGATCCAACTATTTTTTTCTTTCTCCAGAACAAAATATGAAATGTAGTGATCAATTTGTCGTCCTCGTATGTGGGTAATAACATCATCGAAAGAGAAGTGTTTACCAAAAATGTTTGAGATCCAATCCATGATAGCTTAAATGTTTCCAGACAAGGTTCATGGCAACCGTTTTGTTTGTATCAGTACAATTAGTCAGGTGAGAAGAAAGCAAGATAAGTTGGAGCAGTAGTTTCAGATCAAGAATGTGATGAAGATGAATGAAGAAAAGAACACGTTTCTTGGCGTAGCCTGTGCGCTGCGGAGATGCCAATTCGTCGAGCTCAGTGCCAGAGAGAGAGAGAGAGAGAGAGAGGTGCAGCAGCGGGTGGTGCTGTTGGGAAAGGAGAGAAGCAAAAGTGATGGGTTGAGAAAAGGCTGCAGGTGGACAAGTATGAATCAATGGCGACTGCATCGACCACCACCTGGGGCTGGTTCTGCAGTGACCAGAGGATACGCCCCTCATCATTCCTGATGGTGGAGTGCTCAAAGGGTTAATGAGGCAGCCAATCTGTGTGCTCGAGGCCAGGTTGGAGGTGTGTACCCTCCTCCTCAGCTCACCCCCTCCTCATCGCTTTTTCTGATGGCAGACCTCCTCTTTTTGTTCCCTTTTGCAGGATTTATCGCAGAGGTGGCCGTGGCTTTTGTCAAAGCGCCATCATTTGCTCACGTATAATTGTACTGGGAATCCCTGTTTAGTCTTGAAGGATGCACCCGGCTTTGGTGTAGCAAGGCGGAGAAGAAGATGGTCCCCGGTCACCATGGCTGTGTTCCTCAGGGGATTGGGAGCTCCCACCCATTCCTTCTTCTTTATTGCCCCCCCTTGTCTCTTTGCTCTCCGTATCACGACATGTTTGTGGTTGGTTGTCAGGTCACAGCTTTGGGGAAGGAAGTTGACGAGTCTTTTCCTCCTCCGCCTCCTCCTCCTCCTGCTGCTGCCGCTGCTTCGTTGCTGCAAGGGGGAACGGCACACACGCAGAGTGAGAGAGAGAGAAAAGTGGATGCGACTTTCTCAGGCAACAGCTTTTAGCTGCGAAGATGATCTCGATATCTTGGCATAGGAGGAGATGTGATTCCTTGTGGCGCTACCTCGATCTCTCTCTCTCTCTCTCTCTCGTCGCCCTCCGCGTTCCTCCACGCCCAAACAAACGCGGACTTTTGGTCGTCCGTTTCATGGCGTTCCCTTGTCCATCAATCCCGACTCAATTCGCTCGCCGTTGGATGGAGTACCTTAATAATTAAAATGCATACACATGCAAAAGTTTTGATTAAGTAAGGTTATAATTTTAATATAATACATACACATATGACATGGTAATTTTTATGATTTCAATACAATTGGACAAAAATATCAATTAAAACAATATTATTTCCAAGACCGGTCAACCCTGACCGAGAATCCGAAAAGAAGGCCCCCATAGCTCCCGACACAAGCATTCATTACATGGGTATATTTCTATAATGATATCATTATGTCATAATAATTAAGAATAAACCATGACATATATATATATGTGTGTGTGTGTAAGATGGGATTTACGTCTTAATGCAATCAATATATATATATATATATAAATATGCTTCGTTTTTTGAAACAGAAATGGTTAATCATGAGATCGCACGCCGCGCAAAGCAAAACTCGGATGCTCTAAAGAAAATTGACGGCGTGGATGGCAAGGTCAGGATGGGTCCGGGGAGAGAGGAGCCCACCATGTGCTGCTCTCCTTCGGCCCACCATAATAAGTCACATGGAACAACAAGCCGCCCAAAAGCCAGAATTATTTCGGCCCCCCCGTCGCCTCCCCCCCACCCATCCACCGCACACAACAAACAAAAGGGTTTGTGCTCGAGCGTCGTAGTAGTAGACGAAGAAAAAGGAGACGCAGGACGACGACGTAGAGAGAGAAAGAGAAAGGAGAGATGCCAAGAAATAGTACGAGCTGCAGAAAGCGAAACCCACCAAAACAGCAATCCCCTTCTCCCATGTCTCCTCGAGTGCTGCTGCTGCTCTCCTCTCCCCCTCTCTTGCTCTCCAAAACCCAAAACCCGTCCTCCTCCTCCTTGTCACCATGATCAGCGCAGTCGAGGTGTTCGACGCGACCCTCCGACCCATGCCGTCTCCTTTGGATCGCTCCAGTTGAATGCAAAGGGAGTCGGTGACTCTCATGAAGTCTTCGCTGATGCCTCGGCGGTGGAAGCGAAGTAGCTGCTGCGGCGTCACTCGAAACTAGTGTTGCTTTTGGGGGGATTGAAGAGGGAGGAGACTGCTGCTGGTTTCAGGGGGCGTCCGATGGCGACGGCGAACGCGTTGACGACGACGGCGGTGTCCACCGCGACGATGGATGATTCGGCGGCGGCGGCGGCGACGGCGACGGCAGGGGCGGGGGCGGTTGCGGAGGACGTGGCGGCGAAGGCGGTGCACAAGAGGTACGAGGCGCTGACGACGGTGAGGAGCAAGGCGATCAAGGGGAAGGGGGCGTGGTACTGGGCGCACCTGGAGCCTGTGATGGTGCAGAGCGCCGACACGGGCCTCCCCAAGGCCGTCAAGCTACGCTGCGTCCTCTGCGACACCGTCTTCTCCGCCTCCAACCCCTCCCGCACCGCCTCCGAGCACCTCAAGCGCGGCACCTGCCCCAATTTCGGCTCCCCCTCCTCCTCCTCCGCCGCCACCCTCGCCGCCCTCAAGCCCATCTCTTCCATCGCCCCTTGCTCCTCCTCCTCTACCGCTTCCCACCACCACCACCACCACCCGAACAGCCGTAAGCGCTCCTCCACCTCTGTCGGCGCGAACCCTTCGTCCGCCCACTTCCACGCCCCTCGCCTCGCGATCGCGGACCACTCCCGCTTCTCCTCGTCACCAACTACCCCTGCTGCCGGTGCCAGCGAAGTCGTCTTCTCCACCCCGCCCCCTCTGCCGCTCCCCGCGCCGCAGCCTCAGCTGGTCCTTTCCGGGGGGAGGGAGGACGTCGGCCCGCTCGCGATGTTGGAGGACAGGGTCAGGAAGCTCAAGAGCCCCAAGGCCTCCCCTGGACCGACTCTCTCCAAGGCCCAGGCTGACTCCGCCCTCTCCCTCCTCTCCGACTGGTTCCAAGAGTCGGCCGGCGCCGGCGCCGTCTCCTTGTCCTCCATAGAGCATCCCAAATTCCGCGCCTTCCTTGGCCAGGTCGGCCTCCCGCCCATCTCCCGCCGTGACATCGTCGGCCGTCGCCTCGACGCTCGCTTCGATGAGGCCCGTGCGGAAGCCGATGCCCGAACACACGACGCACTCTTCTTCCAGCTAGCGGCCGATGGCTGGAAGCCCCACGACTCGTCCTCCGGTGGCGACTCGATCGTGAGTTTAACCGTGAACCTCCCCAACGGCACCACCGTCTTCCACAGGTCCGTGCTTACTCCCGCCCGGTCCCCGTCCCAGTTCGCGGAGGTGGTGCTGTCGCACACCATTGCGGACATCTCCGGCGAAGGCGCCACCCGGCGGTGCGTCGGAATCGTCGCCGACAAGTTCAAGTCCAAGGCCCTCCTAAACCTGGAGAACCAGAACCAGTGGCTGGTGAACCTCTCCTGCCAGCTCCAGGGATTCCGCAGCCTCATCAAGGACTTCGCCCGCGAGCTGCCGCTCTTCCAGACCGTCGCGGCCAAGTGTCACAAACTCGCCACCTTCTTCAACACCCACTCCCAGGTCCGAAGCGTTTTCCACAAGTACCAGCTTCAAGAGCTCGACCATGCATGCCTCCTCCGAGTCCCGCCCTCGTATGACCCACTGGTAGGAGGCTGCAGCGCCTCGTCCCTCTTCATGATGATGGAGGACATCTTGAGCTCTGCTCGGGCTCTGCGGTCGGTCATCCACCATGAGTCCTACGAGCTGGCCTGCCACGATGATCCTACCGCAAGAGATTGCGCCGACATGATCCACGACACGGGCTTCTGGAACGAATTGGAGGCAGGCCACTTCCTCGTCAAGCTGTTCGACGATATGCTTCAAGAAATAAAGACAGAGAGGCCACTCGTCGGGCAATGCCTGCCAATGTGGGAGGAGCTGAGGTCCAAGGTGAAGAACTGGTGCTCTAAGTATGGTGTCAAGGATGGGCCTGTGGAGAAGGTGGTCGAGAAAAAGTTTAAGAAGAACTACCACCCAGCTTGGTCGGCAGCATTCATATTGGATCCACTGTACTTGGTGAAGGATGTGAGCGGGAAGTACCTTCCGCCCTTTAAGTGTTTGACGGCTGATCAGGAGAAGGATGTGGACAAGCTGATCACCAGGTTGGTTTCTCGTGAAGAAGCCCACATTGCTCTGATGGAGCTGATGAAGTGGAGGACTGAAGGATTGGATCCATTGTACGCGCAGGCCGTGCAGGTGAAGCAGCAAGACCCAGTGACAGGGAAGCTGAGGATCGCAAACCCGCAGAGCAGCAGGCTGGTGTGGGAAACATGCCTGAATGAGTTCAAATCCCTTGGCAAAGTGGCTGTGAGGATAATCTTCCTGCACGCCACCGCATGTGGTTTCAAGCACAATCCATCCATACTGCGGTGGGTGTGTGCACGTGATCGCTCGAGGACCAGCATCGACCGAATGCACAAGTTAGTGTTCGTGGCAGCTCATGCAAAGCTAGAAAGAAGAGATTTTTCGAGCGAGGAAGAGAAAGATTCCACATTGATGAATGGGGAAGATGATGGTCTAAACGATACAGCTTTTGCTGAAGCCTCTTCGGTGTGAGATCTCATGTCTTTAATTGCTTCAATTGTGCCTTTTGTAGAATTGGATTAGTAGGAATTCTCAGGAATTTTTTCCTTCAAAGTCTAAATATTTCAATTTGCCCATTGAGATTTTGGGTGGGTTGGGGGGAGGCGGGTTTGGTGGGGGAGTGTGGGGGCATGAGAGAGACCTAATTGACATGCTAAAACTCCAGCTTTTCCTGCATGGGCAATATGATTCTTGGGGACAAATGAGCCTGCAGTAAGAAACTGGGAGTCTTCTTGTTTACAGGAGAGGATCAATGCAGAGGTGGGAAACAAGAAGAACCATGTAACAATTGCTTCTTTTTTTTTGAGGAATAATATATGTATATGGGGTCGGGCTTTGTTCGCCTTGAGGCGATTTCTATCGCTCTTTTTGTTGCTTGATTCACTGATCTAGTCCTGCAAATGAAGTGATTGTGAATGCATGCTTGCTTCTTGTTCTTTTAGGATGTTAGCATGCAACTCATCTTCAGCAATTTGATCTTTGAGTTACATCATGAATACTTCTATCAAAGTCTTCACTTGCTGTTTCTTAAGTTTGACATAATGTGTTTCCTGCACCTCAGACCATGGCAGGTTACACACTTGATCCATTCAGAAAGGTTTTGTTGTGATCGATACGCTTAATTAATTCTGCTTTGTTTCGACGAAGCGTGGCACCTGTACTCATCACAAGAACCGAATAATTGCCTCGCAATCGCTATCCTAATCCCGTGAAGAATTTGGTTTTCACCGTGGCGCTTCGAGCTTCGCAAGTCTGAATCGAGCATCTCTAACTCTAGGAGGAGGAGACTCTGAATCGATCACCACAGCTAAACACACTCTGGTGCCGTAGCAGACAGAGGCACCTAAATCAAAAGAGTCGCAGGAAGTGTCACCCCTCTCTCATCTTCTTCGATCTCAGTCTGTCACACAAGCTGGGCATCTCGTTCTCAACCTAGGAATGTGTTGCATCAGAAACCCAACCTAGGAGAGCACGAGGTACAGCGGGAGACCTCCCAAGGAATCCTCGTGTCCATGCTAAAGCCAGTCCTTCCATGACTTGTCTTCTACACATCGTGACTCACTTTTCTCCTCCCCAGGACAGGAGATGAGACATCAACGTCACAAGGATGCTGCTCGATAATGTATGTGATGTGGCCATAAGGAGAGCACCAATTAAGATTATTATAGTTGCAGAATACCGGCATGTGTGGACTAATTATATGATGCTACAGCTACGGGATCGAGATCAAATACTATTAAATCTACGACGTCTGCGTTGGGAATCTTTTCTTGCGTCGGATGGTAGTATGGGATATTATAAACATGGGAAAAGGTGGAAGCTTTTGGTATAGGGTTGGGCGGATGAAGATTTAGTAGGCAGTAGATGCAGTGTTTTGGAAAGCAGCGGCACTGCAGCCACCATCTACTCTCTCTCTCTATAGTACGAGGGGAGAAGTCCCCTCATCCTTCATTCAATAAAATGTAAGAAAAGGTGTTATGAATTCATTGGTATAATAATTCTAAAAATTAAATAAATGTTTTTACTATATTTCTTTTAAAAATAACTATATTATGTCCCAAAAAAAAGTGGAAACGAGTTTGCTAAGTCATTTGGGCGTCTAAAGATCGGATGCAAAGGATTCCGGAAATCCATTTCGCCAAAGACTCGACTTACCCATGATAGTAAGCTGACAAGCGTAAATGAGAAGCGGAAAAGGATTAATGTCCGAGTCGACGCGAGATGTCGGGCATGAATCGAGAGACACGAGGCGGTGGAGGGTGTGTCGGCGGGGGTGGCGGGGAATGCTGATGCCTCACCAACTGGATCGATCTCTTTTTGCGCTTTTGGTGAGTAGAGAGGGAGAGCGATGATGTCGAACAAAAGCAGTGAGGACGAAGGTGGCCGCTTTCCACGAGAATCCCAACCACTTCCTCTACCCCTCTCCTCTTCTTCCTCCTCCTTCACCCCTTCCTTTTGCCTTCCTCCCTTCCTCGGAATACATAGGGCCCATCGTCGACGACGAATCTGGTGACGGTTTTCAAGTATATTGGAAGGAATCCTTAGCTTGCTTTACTCGAGTGATTTTATTGTAACCGTTCTTATTAATTATCTTATTTAATAATAATATAACCGTTCTATTTATAATTTATTATTATAAAATTTTTATTTTTATTATAATTAAAATAATTTTAATTTTTTATTTTATTATTAAATTAAATATTTAATATCATTAAAATTAATTCTTAAACATTATGAGTTGGTAATAATAAATATTTTTGATGGGAGAACATCTATATAAACGAGGATTTTGATCCTCGAACTCAACATCTTTGAAGTCAAAGAACTTTCTACACCATCTAAAATGAGAGTTCTGAACCAAAAAAATACTAAAGTTTAAGAAGAAACTACCGTAGAAATTATGTGCGTTATTTTATTTTTATATTAATTTTTATTATATTTCTATTATAATAATTTTAAAATATATTTTGACATCAAAGATTTCTTATCAGTGGATAATCAAATAATTTCCAACATTTTACTTTTGATTCTACAGAAATATTATCAGTTAAAGAAAAAAGAAATAATCGAGGGGGCACAGATTCGTAAATGTTTGTACTTAATGTAACTACAACTTCCTATCTCATTTAATTTTAATCCATCTTTCGCATATATTTCCTCCGATAAATGCAAATTAGTAGACTTAAATATTACAGAATTAAGTATAAAAATCGCCAGCTCAGAAAAAAGAACTATTTTTAATTTTGCTGAAACAAAAAAAAATTGCGGCGTTTTATTTTGACCCGGTCAAACAATCCCGTCAAAGTGGGACCTACTTGCTGACGTAACGCCGCGCACTCCACCGTATCATATCTGACAACGATGGGTGGCCACCAGCGAATCTTTTCCGAACCACCGCCGCGGCGGCGGATCTTTCGACCATGAGACGCCGCGTGTCTCGACTCCTCGAGCGAGAGAACCCGGTAAACATTTGCTGATTTTTATTATCACCAAAAATCATGAATATAATATTACGTATATAAAATTATCAGAGTTTCTTTTGATAAAAAGGGGAGGGGGTGGACTGGTCAATGCGGGTCAAACCCGACCCGAAATCCCTGCGCGTGTTGGGCCGCGGGCTTCGGCCCATTAAACGACCCAATTATGAGAAGATCATGATCGACTCGAGGTTCGAATCGGTTCGTGTCAAATCGAGACCGGTCGAGATCCTATCGATCATAACTGGACCGGTTATCACAGCCTGTTCCGCCTCTCATGCTCTTCCCGAGCTTATGGACGCATGCACGCAGAACTCAGCACAGAGCAGCAATACATGACCTGAGAAGGAAACGCCGCGCACCGATAACGAAGCAGCAGAACTCACTGCCGCCCTCCCTCCCTCGTCGCTGGCATCGCGCTTCCTGTTCTATGGAACGTCGAGGAAGCGGCGGCGCTCCAGAGAGATGACCATAGCGGAAACAGCTTCGGCTTCCCACCATTTGGATCGGCGACGAGAGGATGCGCGCGCGCGTTGGAGTCTTATCAAGCCTTGATAAGGAGGGAGACAGCTTGTATCAACTACAAAACAACAGCCCACTTGTTCTCCATACTCGTGTTGCTTTAGCATCACGATGAAATTGAGTTCTTCACGGATCAAGCGAATCAGAAAAATAACCTGACGTCTGAGAAGATAAAAAAAGCCTACAAGAGGCGACAAAGGGATGCTCGAGACATGTCAAACCAGATTCCACAAAGGTACATCTGAGAAAGAGTATATATATCTCTCTAATGGTCGATATCACGAGTCAAGAGAAACATTATGGAACTCAATTCTCAAGATCGATCATGAATGGAGGGAGAAACGAAAAGGAGCGATGATTCACTTTTATTCGTAGGTGTGGGTTTTCGTTCCGAAGACGAAATTTACTTCAAACTCTATTCAACTATGTGTGCTAATAATCATCATTATTGTCACCTGTCACTCACCCCAACCTTTACTTGGAGACTGCCCAATCTTTGCATGTCAAGGATATCATGTTATGATAGTAACTCGATTTGAACAAGAACGTATGACCATGATTAGCACAGAAATAATCATGACCCTATAAAGAAGAGGCATTTACCACTTGAATACGGCATTCTTAAGAAGATATATCACTAAGTCGAAACAAAGTAACTGTTCTAATTAAAATAACACAATCCAAACTGAGATGGATTAATCCAAACGAATCTAGTTTTGTTCAAAAAGGAGGTCATCATGTTTGTTTGTTCATATTTGGGTGGTATAGATAAACCCTAAATATTTGATGAACAACTTTTCCTTACAAGTAAATAACATAAAGAACATGCTTTTGTAATCCAAGATGTCATTAACCAGATTAGAGAGTAGTTTCGGAAGCTTAACTTGGAAACACAGAAGCTAAGCCAAGAAAAATCTCCACCAAACCTCAACATAGATTCTTGTCATATGAAGCAACATCAACAAACATAAGTTTCACGAGAGACGCAAGTAAAACCTAATACAATTAATCATCTCTAGCAGGCAAATCCCAGTACTCAGTATTCAATTTGTAGCAAAAAAGGTGGGTTGATAAGAGATTACAAATCATTGCGATACCTAATAAAGTTATGTTCTTTCTCTCAGTTTCTGCTTCTATTATCCTTTCATATCATTCTTCCTTATATTGAGGCCATTGGAAAGAAACAGACGAAGGTCACATCCATCCATCAATGCCATTAAAAGAGGCGGAAAAATCATACGCAACTCGCATAAAGAAGTAATGCATGCAAGGAACACCAGCGACAGAATAGATGGGTGGTGCAGAAGATGAGCTTTCCCCTCCTCGAGTTCCGTATACACCCATGCCATGCGTGGCCGCGACCTTGTGCAGTCCGGGCCATTGACATGACCCTCAAGCTAAATAATGCCGACGTTTCTTGAGCTAAAGAATCCAAGACCCAAGCAAAGCCATCAAGAACAAAGGAATCCATGCTTCCAGCTCGCTTGCAGGTCTTCCGGTAGCCAAGCTACTCGTCGATGCTGTTGGGGTCGTCCCACTCCCAAGCCGGCAGACCTAGAGGGCATGCGATAGCCTAGCTCTTTCTCTAATAGCAATCCCAAGAAGACAAAGGCTCAGAATGAAAGGAGTAGGAAGAAAAGCTAAGCCATGCATGACTGCAACTTTTGTTAGAATGGAGTAGGATTTGACTCCCGACGCTGCATTGTCAAGGTAGGAAACTCGAAACAAGAATAAGACCCAACAATTGCTCCAAATTCTAAAAGAAGCAGGTAAAAATATTAGCTCTAGCTGAAGTGTCTACCATGCTATATAGCCTTGCTCGTTAGCTCTCTAAGGTCTGGGATGGTGAGGGAAGAACTGGGTTCCGGCCATGAAGGCGCTTAGTGGCGTCGGATAGAGGGCGGAAGGATCCATCGATCCGGTGGAAGCCGCCGCGGTAGCTGAGCTAGAAGGTGCAGCCAGGCCGGTGGCAAGAGCGGCTGCGGTCGAGATAGAAGCGGCGGCAGCGGAAGACGAGGATTCCCCGTGCAGCGCGAGAGGAGTCGACGGGGTCGGCACGTCCGGGCCGTGGTCGTAGAGGATGCCCTTGAACACATGCCCACCGATGCTGACCGCGGTCTGGTATGCGAACTCGTCCTCGGTGTCGTCCAACGGGCTCACCCGCACGCACCGGAACACTGCCGGGGAGCTCACCTCGGCCGGGAAACTCACCTCCCCTCCTGCCAGAGTGTGGTTCCAGTTAATGGGCATCAAGTAACATAAGAAGTGTGCAAGGAGGTGTTACACTCGTCTCTTGTTGGATTAGTAGACGATGGGTGCAGGAGAAAGAGGAAGACAGTGAAAGACGGGAGCGAGTGGGAGTGATGGAACGGAGCACACGCAAATGATTCGAGTGAATAGTGGAGTGGATTCACGAAATAGTAGAATGATTTGTACTGCATGTGCTGCTGCTACCTGATGATGCGGTGGTGATGACGGTGGATAGATGGGTGGTCATCTCCCGTGGCCTTTTGGAGGGCTCCCCGCCTCCACTGCCACCAACATCTCCTCCGCCGCCGCTCGTCGAGCCTCCGATTCGGAGCTGCTGAGACTGCTGCTGCAGGGAGGAGGCGGCGGCGGCGAGATGCTGCTGGCGCTCGCGCCGCTTGGCGGCGGGGACCCAGGTGCTCTTGACGTGCGTGGAGCATTGGAAGCCCCGGCTCTTGCAGCAGGTCCGGCATCGCATGTGGGAGCAGTCCTTCTTTGCCTGGTTGCCGCAGTCCTGGCAGCTCATCCCCCCTCCTCCGCTGTCCCTCAAGCTGACGGTGCGCTCGATCGATCCGCCAGGTTGGAGCGGCTCATCGGAGAAAGAGAGGAGCCCGGCGGTGGAGGAAATGTAGAGTTGCTGCTGCTGTTGCTGAGGTTGTTGCCGATGGATTTGCTGCTGGTGCTGCTGCCATAGCTCGAAGCCTCTCCCGTAGCCGATCTCTTCGGTTCTATTGCCGCCCACGCCGCTTCCGCTGCCGTAGAGGAATAAGCTCTCTGGTGGGATCCCTTCGTCACCTCCGCCCTGCCTGTTTCCCCCACCTAGAGAGAACCCTGCCATGCTTCCTACCCACCAAGCTTCAAATCCATAACAAGATCGATCGCTCCTCCTCGCCCCTCTGCTAAAAGAAGCACAAACTGCATCATGATAAATCTACAAGGCAGTAGAATTTCTGAGAGAGAATAAATAGGTGGCTGTACCTCGAGAGATTTCCTTGTATTCCTACTGAGTAGCAAAGATGTCGTTCTTGTTATGCTCGCTTTCCCTGCTAATTTTTCGCCTCCTCCAATCCCTAACAATAAGATGGAGAGGGAGGCCGCAGCAGCGGCTGTAGCAACACTGCTACCTCATCCTCGATCTCTCCTTGAATTCCCTTCCCTTCCCTTCCCTTCACTTGTCTTTCTGTTTCTCTGCCCTCACTCGCTTTGGGGAGTATATTTAAGACACGGAATTAGAGCCACTGCAACGCCGCCATGGAGACTGCAATCACTCGCTGCCACTGCCACAACCTCAATTCCATTTATTACACCCCCTCCTCTCCCCCCCTCTCTCCTCCCATCATCTCTCCCACTAAAAACAAGCAAACTCGCATATCGGATTTAAGATCAGATGAAAAGTCTGAAGAACGAGGTTGCTGCTGGTAATCATCAACGAATTGTGGTCGCAAAAAGGGAAATAAAAAGGATCAAAGAAAACATGAATCAGCCCAATTTTCCCTTTGCTTGCTTCTCGTTGCCTACTGATCCATCATGAGCTACCGCTAGATTCTGGACCATGTTTCCGCACGATCGGAGGGAGGAGATAGCTCCACGTGTCTGACAGCCAGCTGTTGCTCGGCCACCCTCTCGACGCGCAAAACCCGGTACTTTCCCAGCCCCTCTCTCTCTCTCTCTCTCTCTCTCTCTCTCTCTACTTTACTGCACCTGCTCAAAAGTTAGAGGCAGCACAACACCACCAACACCAACACCAACAAGAGACCCAAGTAAACCTCGCCAAAAGTCTGCCCCCATTGAACCCATCCCATTTGAACGCCCCTGCCACTGTCTTCAGTGTGCAACACTTGATGTCCACACCAATTGAAGTGCAACCAAAGATCCCAAATAGACAAGTAAAGGTTAATATGTACCTCAATATCAGTGCTGCAGTTCACAGAATGAGTAGGTGATGACAGGAAGCTGACCATAGTTTATCCTGTGACCTCTTTTGGACCAAGCTTATTAGCATAACATTAGCAGGGAGATGTTATTTTTCCGGTGCACTGTTGATCTCCTCATATTATAAGCGTATAAACTGCAGCTTTTTACGTGCAGTACTGTGCATGAGTATTCTATTGTGATGCATTCATTGCTCCGCCGGTCCGGAGTCGCGCCGAATATGGCTACTCGACTCGGGACGCGTGCCATTCCCGACAAAACTCTTCAATACGCTCCAGCGTATGTACTACATGCATGGGTGACTACGAGAAGCCACCGATCATAAATATACTCCTCTACATGCTTCTGACACGGATGCAGTAATATGCTTGCTTATCTTTTACTACATAACATGCACCATTTGACTTTTCCCTCCCTTTGTTTGTCTCTCATCATTGATTTAGCTTCTTAAGTCACGTTGGGGAAGTCCACTTGGACTTTCTCCCACAAGTCAAAATATTCATCGACCCAGTGAGCACACAAGCAAGAAGAAGATGCATACCTAAAGCAGAAAAAGAACGTGATTAAGGTTTCATGGGGGAGAAGCCAGAGGAAGAAAATGGTACCACTGTTCACATCTACCAACTGTTACCATGTTAGTATGGATATAGAATGTATTAAAAGGACGTCTCCGTAGAGCTGATTTGCCGGGAGAATGACGCGGGGAGCTCCCGATGAAGGTGCTGCTGTTGTCTCTTCTCCCCACTCCTCGAGCCCTGCGCGGCCTCCCGGGAGTTGACTCTCCTCTTTTCCCTCATCTGCAGCAGTCACCCTCGATCCCTCTCCTGCTTTCCCGTCTTCTCCTTCTCCTCCTTCTTCTTCTTCGCATCTCATCTCGCCTGGCATTGTCGGACGCGGAGCCAGCTTGATACCCTTAAAGAATCGAATACGCGGAGAAAGAGAGGGTGGGGGAATGGAAGGCAGATCACAAATCCCGGAGCCAACATAGCATCCATGTGCTACGAAGGGAGTCTTCTTCGTCCCAACAGCGTCGGTGTTTTGTGTTAACACCGGGCCGAGACTTCTCTCACGTGATACGACACACCCTGAACCATGCATGCATGCCGTGCTCAGCACAGAATGTACATGGACATGGTGTTGTTTATCAGATAAGTATATGGTCATGTAATCAGAGAATAGCACAGAATGTATCTAATGACCCTTGCAGCACGCCGTGGGATCACTCCTGAATGAGCATTCAGGTTAGAAGTCTAAGTTCATGCAACCAAGTATAAGATAAAGAACAAGAGATGCTTTCATCGATCGACGTTGAAAACTGCAGGGAGCAACGAAACCTGTTCAGTGTTAAATGAGTAACCCAAAGCCAAACCTCATCTAACTCGACAGATCTTTACTGCACAGAAGAGGAGATCAGAAAAGGACTATATGCAGAAGATCGAGTTTTGCTTCTTTGACTTTACTGAAGGAAATCTATGTAGTGTAGTCGGAAAGGTCGAGTTTTGTTGCACCGATTAGAAGCATTTCCCTATTAAGCTGACAAATCTGAAGAGAAGGATTATAAAATAGAAAACAAAACATAAACTGGACTAAACTGCAAAACAACAAATATAATATCTCAGAAAATAAAGCAATAAACAGAAACAAAAACCAGAAAATACTTTTTAATCAATTTTTTTCGTAGAAAAACGAATCGTTTAGAAAACAACGAAAATAAATCAAAAAATTCTGGTGACTCGTCATTAAGATTAAGGGATCATTATTCGAAAAAATCTTATTAGACTGCCTATATAACCCTCCCATATACATGAGAGTGTTGTGCATTGTGTTTGTTCTTTTTATTTCTGTTTATTTTTTTTTACTTTCAATGTATTATGATTTTTTACAGTCTAATATCTTAAACTAATCTTCTAAAACTAATCTTCCTCTCTTTGGCTGTAATTTACGAGTTTGCCATTGTAGAACTCCTGTACTAATACACACCTCTAGTGGTGGACTACAGCGCCTATTAGACACGACAGATCTCCCTACGAGTTAGGAAGCCGCGTAGTTGCGATTGCCGGAGGAAACGCATGTTTCCTGTTTGCATCCGGTGGCTACTTGGTCGTGGCTTAACTCGTGGTTGAAGCTGAGCTAGATGTTATTTGGGATCGAAATGAATCATATACGTATACATACGTATTTGGTGTTTTGAACCGCTCACTCTTCGCCCCTCCACGTTCTTTGGTCTCGTGTTGTGTTCGTTTTAAATCTCCTCTGTCCCCTCTCGTTTCGTTCTTAAGTAAGGCGAGCTCGGGATCTAAATCGCATCCGAGTTCCCATAAAATCCCTCGTCCTCCTCGCGTTCCCTCAGTCTCCTTCAATCGAGCGAGTGATCTCGAGCTCGACCGATTCCGTGAAGCCACGAAGCCGGAAAAGAGGACGATTTTCGCGAGGCGAGACGATCTGATTTTTCTTCCGTTCTCCAGCTTTAATTTTAGGGTTCTTTCTTTGAATTCGGCTTCCATAGAGACTACGAGTGTTGGATGCCTGGATTGCAGTGGCGAACGAGGGAGCGGCCCGAATTTCTCTTGGGATGTCTAGGGTTGTTTTGCTGCAATTGGTAGACTAAACTTGGGATTTCGGAATCTTTTCTTTGAAGGTGGTTGGGGTTCTAGCGGTGCTTGCTTCGTCCTTTGTTGTACGAGAGACGCAGAAAATGGTTGGGATGCATGTGGCCATAGTACGAGACGTGGCATTGCTCGTCCCTGATCTTTTGTAGCTCTCGGAAATGTCTCAGTTGGCTCCGAGTGACAACCCTAAATCAGCCGACGAACTGTTCTGCCAGTGGCTTTCACTACTAGAAACCAGCAAACTGGTACTTCGTTCTTTCATGTATCTTTTGTATGAATGTTGATTGTTTTGGAACTTGTTCTTGATCAAATTGTTTGCCAACTGATGAATGGTTATGTGCATATTGAATAATTTCATTTTACATTGCAATTATGACGACCTAGCATCTTCTTTGATGAATGGGCATAAGTTCATTTCTACACTCATTCTTGATGTGTTTAGGTAAAATTTAAGTACATCATTGTAAGAAGTTAGGCACCTCTATTTTTGAAACAACAGTTTGCAAAACTGGACCTCCATGCTCTTTAGATGTATAGTATCCTACGTTGAAATGTATGTTAATATATTAGCGTTAGTTTAATCTTAACGCACTTGTTGGTTTTTGGCTGAAAACAATTATTTAATTAGATTGATCTTATTTTAATAAGTTACAATAAACTAATTGATTCTAGTTAATTCAAATTGAATTTAGTGGTGGTAGTCTTTTCATTTGGAATAAAACAGAAATTACTATAATTTTTTCGAAGTTTAATTAAACTTAACTAAATGGCAGCAAAAGATTCATATAGCCAACCCCAAATAATTGGAACTTATGGTTTTGTTGTTGTTGTTGTTATTGTTTTTGAAGTTTGAAGTTTGCAAAATAAGATCAATAAATAATTTCAGTTACTCACTATACCCATAAATCTCTTATTTGATATACGAATTTTATAATAAAATAAAAATTAGTGGGAATTATATTGTATTATCACAGAGAATTATAGAGGAATGGTAGAATGATCAACTATGAGTTGACCATTATTGTTGTTTATATTTGGTTTAGATTTGATGATATTTTTGCAAATTTAAAAAAATTCTTTATATTCTAATAGTTAGATAGTTTCTGGTGTAAATGTATTCTCAAAGTCGCATAGGTAATTTTTTTTCCTGTTATTTTTATTTGGTTTTTCTTAACTTTGCTCCTGACAATTGTCACATGCACAGAATGAGGGCTTTTTTACACTGCAATTTAAAAGGCTCCAAACTTTCATGAAATATCTTTATTATCCTTTTCAATCTTGATAAATTTCTGGAATTCGAAACTCGTGATCCTTTCCTTTTCAATATTGATTCATGCAGGAATATGAAAAATTCTACTTTGACAGAGTGGGACGGCTTTGCACATAGAGAATAGAGAATATATCAGGTTGTCTATGGAGGAAGATGGTTAAGATACCTGGAACGGAAGAGATGTTTGGCATGAATCACTTCATCCCCCCTTTTGAAAACAAGCTATTGTAAGCTGCTATTCTTTCCTTCTTTCATTCTTATTACTTATGTCACCAGGATGCCTATTACACTACTGGATGCCTAAACAGGAGAGAGATTACCTAAAGCCTACCAAGCCAAGTTGTTTGGTAGGAAGGCTGATATTTTTTCAATAGTTTTAAGTTCATGCAACTTGCAAAATCTTAAACAAGAAACAAGTTTAGAAGAAACAGTAAACGGCAAATTTGCAAAAGAAGTTATCTCGAAGGTGCCAATGAAGTGAAGAAGTTAACAGAGCACAAACTTAAGAAAAGGTTTCATGCATCTTAAGGAAAGCAAAGTGATGAATATTTTCTCATACCAAAAATTTGAATCATAGAGGATACTCGTACTTCTATTATCTTATTAAGGAGGAACCTGAGTTCGAAAGCATAGAACAATAATGTTGGAACCTGAGTTCAAAAAATTTATATGGAACGAATTTGTTGCTATTCTTTAGGACAACAATCCTTTTTCGTGGTGTTAACAACTTGATGCCGTGGATGGGGAGTCGGTACGAGTCGGTCCTGTCTCGAAGGTGTAGGGTCATCCTAGAAGGTCCTCCCGAAGGCGAGATGGGAGACAGGAGTTATAGGGGTTGTCCCGAGATGGGGCTTGAGTGAGCTCAATCTCTTTGGCGCCCTGCACAACAGGTCAGTGTTAGGTGGGGGTTCTCAACTCGACCCCTCCGACACTTGGTTTAGTTTTGAGTGGGGACTATAGCCTTTTTGAGGTTCAGAATTCGGTCCTTGTTCAAGTATCGGTAATCGATTTTTATACCTACGAAGCCTTCGGGATGTGGCTACGGTCGCTAGGGACTACCTATACATCCTTTTGTGGCACATTCATGTGGACAATCGCCCGGTACAATCCCCTGCGGCGTAGGTTGGCTAGTACGATCTCCCGAGACGCAGGTCGATTTGTACGATCTCCTGAGGCATGGATCGACTGGTACGACCTTCCGTGGTGCGGCATCGAGCCATACACCCCCCCTGCAGAACTGCGCTAGCAGAGGATGACCGAGGGGGTGCCGGCTGCCAGCCCAATCATCTTCTACGTCATGTAGATGTCCCACTGTCTTCCACACAGTGATTTAAAAAGCGCTAGGCGCCAAGGTCCAAAAACGCCCGAGGCGCTAGGCGCTCGCCCAGGCGCTCGCCCGAGCGAAGCGAGGCGCTAAAATATAAAAATATATAATATAATTATTTAAAATTTTAAATAAAATATGCTATTAAATTAAGAAAATCATTTTAAAATTTAAATAAACTTAATATTAAGAGTATACTGTGACGGAGAAACGAGGAAGCAGCGGCGAGTGGCGGCAGCGGCGAGCGGCGGCAGCGGGAAAGGGAAAGGGAGCAGGAGGCGCGAGCAGCGGGAGGGCTCGCGGGAGGCGCCCTCCCGCGGGAGGCACGAGCAGCGGGAGGGCTCGCGGGAGTCGCGAGCAGCGGGAAGGCTCGCAGGAGGGCTCGCGAGAGGCGCGAGCAGCGATAGCGGCGAGCAGCGGCAGCGGGAGTAGGAGCGACGAGCAGCGAGATCGGGATCGAGAGCGGCAACGGCGGTGGGTTAGGGTTGGGTAAGGGTTATATCGGTTTAGTTGGTTCGATTGAACCAACTAACAATCGAACCAAGACCGAACCAGACCTAAAATCCTGGTTCGGTCTTGGTTTACCCAGGCGCTCGCCCGAAGCGCCCAGCGCCTGGGCTCGGGCGAGCGCCCAGGCAGCGCCTGTTTGAAGCGCGTCGCCTGGGACATTAGCGAGGCGCTCGGGCCTCGCCTCGCCTGAGCGCCTAGGCGAGCGCCCGAGCGCCTTTTTCAATCACTGCTTCCACATCAGCTCCTTGGTGGTTGCCAGTTGGCGAATAGCGATTGATATCAAAATATTCCCTCTCACATGGAGTTAGTTATCCATCGATAAGTGATGACAACATTATGGGTTGATTTATGTATGATAAGAACGCTGGATCTTGTTGCTATGCTAAATACTAACAAGTAATTCACTTTCATCAACTTAGAAAACTCCATAGAAGCTAGTGCCTAAAATAGACTATAGAGATCTTTATTAGACTCTATAGCACTTGGGTGGGTCCACTGATGGTGTCAATCTCTGCATCAAGGTAGAAGATGATTAGTTCAAATTGGCATTCAAATTAAATCCCAAGTTAAGGTTCAAGTAAATATCTGAATTAAGATCCTATCGAGTGTTTTTTTAAAAGAAAAACTGTTCATTCAACTTTGAGTCATATCACCCCTCAGTGAGTGTCCATTTACAAAAATGTTAGCATCCTCAACTCCCCAGGTTAGTGTTGATCTTCCTGTTCTACCCAAGTTAGCAAGATTATGTGCCATAATTGTCACACTTTTGTTGACAAAATGAAACTGTACCACAATGAGTTACTGTGCCAACTCCAAAATATCTGCCACCATTGATCTGTGGTCCCACGGAACTCCACTCGTCCCTTTCAACCAGTTAATAATTTTTGATGCATCAGATTGCACCATAAGGTTCTGGAGTGGCTCCTTAGCCTGATCCTATTGAGTTTCAACTCGGTATTTTGTCTCAGAAGAGTCCTAGGCACACTTGGATTAGGAATATTGTTGTATTTTCATCCTTATTTTCTAAGTTGATTTTGGATGGTTTTTAAAGTTCTACTTAGAGTTTATATGTTGTCCATAAACCTTAATGCGGCTGTAGTATAGTTAGGCTAGTTATTTAATGGATTATTGTAACATATGGAATAAGACAACAATTAAGTCCTTTACTCAAGTCCGATTAAGTCTTGCTATGTTTAGGAACCATGGTAAGCCTTAAAGGCATTAGATTATATCTGAATTAAAGTTATAAATATTATCTCCTTCTCAGTTCCTTTCTAACCCTCTTTTCTCTTCTCTCCTCTTCTATCTTCTCTTGTTCCTTCCATATCTCTTTTGAACATCTTTTCTTGCTAATATCTCTTGGAGGATACCTTCTTGCCTCGAAGAAACAAGATCCTAGATAACAGAGACAATATCATATCAAGTTGTAGTTTAATGGAATTGAAGATTGCCAATTTGTAATCCTTGCAATTGCCAATTATTTTGACTAAATAACATGCTTTGTAGGGCAAGATCTCTAACCATAAAAGGTGTTCATTTCTTTGGTGACCTAAGATCTCTAGCCATAAAAGCTCATCAAAATAATGCTTCAATTATGGTGACTTAAGACATCTTAAAGAATATACTCCAAAAAAGTTGCTTTTAAATTGCTAGAATTTTCAAATCAACCATTGGAAAACTTTTTAATCCCTTTAACACATGATTAGGATATCAATGGGTTCAGGAAGTATTTGCTTGGCGTGTTATGGAGTTTGGTAAAGGTATGAAATCAAACAGCCTTTGTTACTACAATATTGGTGCAAATATATAGCGGGACAAACATTTCGTGGATGAAGTGAGGTTGATATAGGCAGGATAAAATTAGCTTATGTAGCTAACTAGTCTTCAAGCAAGTTGCAAAACATCGAGCACTTTTAAGATCATGGAATAAAGCTTTCTCTTTGTTACTAATCTAGAAATACATTAGATTTCCACAGGGGAGGCTTATTCTGCAAGTGCCAACATTCTGGTAAGGGATGCCCTTGCATGTTGTCTAAAATATCAGCAGTTAGTTGAATGTACGGAATTGATGGACATTAAACTTGTGCAGTATTTCTCCATATTATAGTTGCATCTGCTTAGACTTACCGTTTCTGATTCATACATTTATTAGCTGCCCAAATGAGTGTTGTGACTCTTCTGATGCTAGGTCAAAGCTACCCTAGAACAGCTTCATAGCTTTTCAAGGTTGTTCTCCGCAGGCAACTTGGCATCGGCATTCACTTCATTATTGCTGTCCCCATGGCTCCACACAGAAAGGTATTAATCCAAATTGTTTCTTTCATGGCGTTCATTTCTATTGCATCTAGATCAAGTGAGCATTTTAGAATACTTGGGCCAACACTTTTATTGTTCAAGTTACTGCAGGCAGGGATGTCACCATAAATCCAGTTTTATGCCGAGATTTATCAAGTAGTTGGTCTTGATTTTAACAGAATCTATTTATGTTTTTTATTTTGATTTTTCCAGATTGCCAATGCAACAATGAACCAGAAACATGTGAGTGTGTTCTCTGATCATGGATGGTGGTGTTGTATTATTTAGGGAATAGAAGCATGAGTTAAATTGTTTCTTTGCTCAATCACTTGAACACAAAGACTGGGAATGTAACATGTCGAACTCAGAAATTAGCCAAGTGACCATTTTTGTGATTGTTTGTAATTATCAGAGACCGATTCAGGTTCAGAAATGCTTCAATGTTAAAACTTTTCTGAAGATTGATAATAATATTAGGTTTTTGGGCATAAAATCCTGAAATGTGTCTAGCTAACTGATGCTGGAATATGTGTTCTCAATGATCATATGATGCCTCCCGACTAGCTGTATTGCATAGATTCTCTATCAAGTAGTCAATTTAAGTTATTGCTAGCTTTGGTTTACTGTAGTAAATTTTATTATGTCCGAAACCAATGTGATAATTGATCTGGTACTTTATTGATTATAAATCACTGATTAAAATATTTAAATTTAAATTAAAAGTAATAATTTAAGTTAAATTGAAGTCTCCTTCCACTTCAGATGTGGAATTAAATCAACATATTACAAATTTTAGCTTGGATGGAAGTGGATTAATTTTTTGTAGTATTCGTGTGTCTTACCTCTTTTAACTGCCTCTGGGTATCTATTAATCAAATGTCTTTAGAGATTATTTTCCGAGTCAACATATCATTGACTCATGTTCTCAGGAGGAATTATTTACACACATTTCTTCAAAGGACTGAGAAATGTGCACATCTTCTGACCAATTCCGAAGCCCCAAAACGGAAGCCCACGTTTGGACCTTTCATATACTACCTTACAACAGTGTCTTCAAGTGTACAGAACGACTGATCCAATTCCATTCCACACCATAAGCTGACCGCCCTGGTTTTTCCAGCCCCGGTGAGAGCCACATGCCAAAATAAGAGTCAAATATAAGCATAAAAATCATAATATATTATTATTAAACAAACGAATTTTAATATTAAAATTTAAAATTAAATAATAATATATTTTAAAAAATTATTATAATATATATTTTTTAAAAATTTTATCTGATCTGTATGCGCATTGAATTCGAAATTTGTAATGATGTCAATATATAAGGATAACTAGACTCGTCATTTCTTCTTTTTCTATCATTCACATAATTTTTATGATCGATGAATTCGTAAACTCACGTATTTATATATTTATATATTTAATTATTATATATTTTATATGATTTTAGGTTGTTAAAATATCATATCTAGAGAGCAAAAAAATCTAAGATAAATAATTATGAGAATTAATATCATTAATTTTATTTTTTTTAAAAAAAATTATAATTACTTTTTTTATTAATCAATGATCATCATCAAAATTTAATTATATCTTATCAAATTTGATTGAAACACAATAATAAACCCCACAGTGCTTAGTATGGCAGCTGGCCACCCGTTCCTTCATTTCATTCGTTGATGTGCCCTTTGACGTGACCTGCCACTGGACTTACAGCTTACCGGAGAGCCCGAATCTTTCGAACGGTACGATTCGTGACGTAATTAGAACTAAGTTCACTTTAACTTGAATAGCTTATGTGGATTGTTCTTGGCTACGCATGTAATTTTGGTGTTAAATTGATGGCACTAATTAAGCTTAATCTTAGTGTGGGTGGTGTTGACTCCTGCCATCTTCTAGAAAACCTCGCAGCCTTCGCTTCAACACCACGTGGAACCCACCTTTGCGCGACATTCAAAGCACGATATTTTCCACGCGATAAGTAGAAGTCCGTATGCTTCCTTGAACCACGGCCGCGACACGCAATCGCGACGGTCAAACGCAACCAGCTTATCGATTCCACGACGATAGCTTATGGCGAAGAGCTCCCTACTTTTCACGCCTTGTCCCCGACGCAAACCATACCGAAACTCCCCGGCACCACCCACGTGTCCCGTCCCAATCAACGCCCACTTCTCGCGTGGGTCCCCCTCGCGTCGGCTTTTCGCGCGGAACGCTCTCGTGGGACCCTTTCCGCAACGTCCAATTACTTCCCGGAAAAAGCCGTCAAAATCGGGGACACCCGTTTCCTCGCTATCGCCACCGTCCATGTCTCTAAGTTTTGCTGCCCCATCCCATCTGACGGTCATGGATCCACGATGGGCAATTGGGCCTCACTTTAAAGACCGTGGAAAGCTAATATTCGTGGCTATTGTGTCCGTCTGATTCAGAGACTCTTTTGATAGAACCGTCCACGTGGTCAAAGATAGGTGGGAATATTCCCAGCGGGTGACCAGAATCTTCTCTGTTTATAAGTATGCCAAGCGGCCATGGAATCGAGTTGCAGAAGAGGATACCGAGAACGGAACGAAGCGCTATGAGCGAGGGATTGGTGAGGGACTACGAGATCGGGGCGGAGATCGGGCGGGGCCGGTTCGGGTTGGTTCGGCGTTGCATTTCGGCCGTGACCGGGGAGGAGTTCGCCTTGAAGTCGATCGAGAAGCGCCTCCTTGCTGACGACGTCGACCGCGAGTGCGCGGAACGGGAGGTTAAGATCCACCACCTTGCGGCCGCAGGGAATCCCCACGCGGTGCAGATCCACGCCGCATACGAGGACGACAAGTGGGTGCACCTGGTGCTGGAGCTCCTCGACGGGCCCGACCTCTGCGACCGAATCGCTGCTCGCCAGGGGACGCCGTTCGCGGAGCCGGAGGCGGCGGCTGTGGTGGCCGCGCTGGCGGAGGCCGTGGCCGCGTGCCACCGGAGGGGGGTGGTGCACCGGGACGTGAAACCGGACAACGTGCTCTTCGATGCGAGGGGGCTGCTCAAGCTGGCCGACTTCGGGTCGGCGGAGTGCTTCGTGGGCGCTGACGGGGGCCGGGTGCCGATGAAGGGGATCGTGGGTACGCCGTGGTACGTGGCGCCGGAGGTGGTGACCGGGAGGGATTACGGGGAGAAGGTGGACGTGTGGAGCGTGGGGGTGGTGATGTACATGATGCTGGCCGGGGGGCTGCCCCCGTTCTATGGGGAAACAGCGGTGGAGATCTTCGATGCGGTGGCGAGGGCCAACCTCAGGTTCCCGCCGAGGGTATTCCGCTCGGTGTCGCCGGCGGCCAAGGACCTGATGCGGCGGATTCTCTGCAAGGACGTCTCCAGAAGATTCTCCGCCGAGCAAGTTCTCAGTTAGTACCGATCAAACTTCCATCTCTCTTTGATCGTATTCTTGAGAGGGTTTTCTATTGGCTCATTTCAAAACACCGATTTCTAGGGTTCTATAAACCCTTTTTACTTGCTCTGTTTCATCGGATTCTGGGATTTCCCCAACGAAAAGAAATGCGATTCTATTCCTTCAAATTCAAAGATTTAGCCCGTCGATTCCAATGATTTTGTCATATAAATAAAAAAATGGAACCTTTTTCGTCTGATTTGTTTGGGAATTGTGTTACTGTTCAAATTACTAGTTTGGGGAGCAAGAAAGAAAAAAAAAACTTGATCTTTCGATCTAATCTATGTGTTATTTTTACAGGGCATCGATGGATTACAAACAGAGGAGGGATGCTGAGGGCAGCAGAGGGAGATCCATCACTCTCCATGTAACGGCACGACGAAGCCTCGGTTCTTGGATTCTGCAGTGGCTAGCTCTGTACGTCCTTCTCCTTGGCTTCTCCTTGTGGCTCCATGAAGAGTGCTCTGCAGAACCATAACACGCACTCTGAGCTTGAGCTGTGTGTGCAGGAGAAAGAGAGATGGCATCCTCTGTTTCTACACATGTAAAGCTTCAGTGTCCCTTATTCTTCCTCTTCTTCTTTCCCCTTCACTTCTTTGTTGTTGTAGCTTCCTCGATTTAGATTTTTGTCCATTATGGAACTGATTGATGAGACGTTCTAAAATTTGTCTACTCAATATCTACACCCACCTTCGCAGTCAATCCTTTCCATGAGAAAGTCATTCAGTGCATCTCTTGTGATGATGACTCATGCACATACATGATCTTGTCCATTAGCCACATATATACAAACAATGTGCCAAACATTGACATGTCTCTTCAGAGACCTTCTTCACATAGCATTGATTTTGAGACAAATGCAGATGATATATACCTAACAAGACATCCACATGGATTCACAGAGGACAGTGCCTCACCTTTGGCATATTTCTAGATCAGATAATGTGAATGGCATTCTCCATTCTTTAGATCTGGTCTTCCAATTGCTTTTCTGATGAAGAAAAAGACTTGCATTCCAAGCCCTTTCATTTGATTCCCAATTACATGATTCAACTGGTGGGTGATGCATAACATTTGCAACTCCATCACTGGAGTTCAGATGGGAATTTGCTTCAGTTTTCATGCTACTTGGTATTGAGATTGTGATCCAATAAGCTCAAGTTTAGCTTGAACAGTGAAATGCTTTCAAGTGAACTTGCACTGGGACACCATTGCTTAAAACAAAAATCAATTCTCCATGGTGATTGATAAACCTCAAAATTGACAAGACAAAGCCTTAAATAAGAACATGGTGATGTCTCCTTGCCATCATGTGGTGATGGGAGTAGGGACCATTCTCATCCAAAGTTGGCAAGGAGGTTTTGAAACAATGAATTGGAGGAGGCATCACTGATTGGGGCAAGCCCTGTCCTCCATGCCTGAGTTCATGTTTGCCAAAAATTTGTAATCTAAGAGTGGACTTTCTGAACATAATGTAACTAAAATTAGGATTTCCTATTAGGGTGAGATGCTTTAATCACCAGCATTATGGTGTGTTATCAATGATTGAGGATTGTAATCCAAAGATGTAAAGTTATAACTCTCAAATGACACCAGGAAAAGGGTTACTCCTCATATTACTATATTACTTGCATAAGAAAAGAGATGTCCACGTAAAAGTCCATGGCCCACCAAGGCCCAACCCAGAGCAGACTACTGTTGTAGTCGCTCAGATCAGGCCCATTTATCCTCTCTCTCTCTCTCTCTCTCTCTCTCTCTCTCTCTCTCTCCATGTATATAGGGAGAGAGAACGAGAGAGAGAGAGAACAAGTTGTGTGGCCCAAACGTTAGCTGAAAGCTCGTAATCTATCATTAAAGCGGGATGAAAAGAAAAAGGGAGGATTAGGATGGATGATGATGTTATACTTTTCTTCAACAAGAGGGGATGCAATATGTCTCTTCTTGTATCGACGTACGTGATATTATTCTTCTTTCTTCTTTTTGTTCTTTCTATTGTTTGATAGGGTTGGAAGTCATGAGCTATACTCGTCGTTGGACCACAAACTCTTTGTCCATACATCCTTGATATGGGGAGCTACTTGCGAATAAGAAATGTGAGGAAGACACAACGTCGAAGAGAAGAAGGGGTTTGGAGGAGGTAACGTTCACTGTAATGCATTATATTAGACCCACATGAGGTGGTGAGCAACGTAGTTGATCCAACGTCTCCTTCATAACCATACCATTTACAAATATAAAAAAATAACATATATACATATATTTTAATAAGTGTAATAAGATTAAATTACATGTATTCTTCTTGATCTAATCAACTAAAGCACAAGAAAGGGCATCGAGAATATGGATGCATAATATATATTATATATATATATATATATACATGTATATATGTATGTATATGTATTTGTATATGTCTCTCTAAAAACATAGTTTTTGTTTGAATAGACTTCATCCACATTTATTTTCCAAAGTTATAAAACTTAATCTCTACAGGAATAATAACAAGTGATATAATTTTAATTATTTGAATTTTACATAGACTTTTTCTATACATTTTTATTTATAGTTTGTCTATATATTACAAACGAATTAAGATTCAATGGATCGTAATGATTTGAATATCCTTAAAGTACTCTCGAATGTGTTGGGGGAGAAAAGCATCTGACATAGCCAAATTCAAGATCTTACTGTCATAAGTTATAAGTCAAGCTATCTTTCGGAATTTAAATCCAAGATCTTACTGTCACAAGTCAAACTATCTATCGGAAAGTAACACATTTTCAATTGTCAACGTTAAATATGAGTATGGGTGGAATTAATATATGTTATCATTTTACATTAAAAAAATTATTCTTGATATTTTTGTCTATTATGAAAATAATATGAGTAATCATCAGACGACTACAAATTTCATCCGATAAATTTTTGAAGATGACAAATAGTTTAAATAGTAAAATATTCAAATAATTTAATTTGAAGATGACAAATATCTTGTATAAAAAGAAAATTATGATATTTTGGACAATAGCTTCACTATAATCTTTTGGACTGTCATCACACACCTAAAAATAAAAAGGTCAATAGATCCATCAAGATCTGCCAACAACATCACTCTTTAAAGATTTTTTTTTTTTTGAGGAAAACCTTATTGAAATTGGTGTTTTATTTAAGATAATATATTATCATCTTAAAATATTGTTTTGTGAGTAAAAAACCCTTTGGAGTTGTTTCGATCGTTCCTAATTTTGGATATCCAAATATGAGAGCGATCCAAATGCGTGTGGAATCCTATCGGCTTTCTCTTGATTCCAATTACGTAATCTTTATTGAAAGTAATAATAACAACAAAATATATGAAATGTTAGTCTTGAATATTAATATTTTTTTTCTTTTGACCAGCTTGAATAACTCAGACGATAAAAAAGTAATTTTTTTCTTCAGATAATATAATATAATTTTTTTAGCATTTTTAATATATAATTTTGTATAGTGAAAGTATTTTGAAATTATATAATAATAATAATAATAATAATAATATTATTATTATTATTATTATTATTATTATTATTATAAAGAGAGGAGGAGAAACTATTAATTTGGGAAGAGAGAGAGAGAGAGAGAGTGAGAGTAGCAATAAAAGCATGAGTTACAGGGCAAGTAGAACAAGACATGCTCTGAATCTATCTGCGTCCTTTGTGTTCCCTCACCTCCCCTGCAACTCCATTCCCACTCTTCCACCTTTCCTCGTTCCTTCCTTTACTCGCGTGCTCTCTGCCAAGAAGCCAACCTTAATCAACTACATCCGCAACAAGCAGACAAGGAAAGAGAGAGCAGACCGACCGACCGAGTTCAAAGAGAGGAAGAAGGCAGCTCATCTGCCCCTCTCTTTCTTAGATAGGCAGGCGGAGCAATCCGGTTTGGTCGTTGCGGCAATTCCCACCCTCAAGTTGGAGAGCATCCCCTGTTTTAGCTTCTTCCTATAATTACACTGTGTTGTTGCCTCCTCTTCATCCAGTCATATATATATAGGCTCCTTCCGCTCGCAGGCCCTGCGCTGTCTTCCCGACATGCCGACGAGGAGACGGGAGGGGTAGGGAGAGAGGAGGTGATGGAGAGGAGCGGAGGAGAGAGCGAGCGAGAGGGGATGGCGGCTGCGGAGGAGATGCTGGTGGCCGTGCGCCAGGGGAAGAAGGGTGGAGGAGAGAAGAAGGAGGAGGAGGAGGAGGAGCCCAGCATCCATGCCGACAAGCTTAACTGCGACATTTTTTCCATCCTGGAAAGCAAGTTCCTCTTCGGCTACGATGACCACCAGCTCTGGGTCCCAAAAGCGTCTCCTTTACACGCATCCGACGCCGACATGACGGTGGCGCCTGACACCGGCGCGGCTGTGCCGTCCCCGGTCAGGAGCCAGAGGGGCAAGGTCTGCGTGCTCTGCATCGATGGAGGCGGTGGCGGCGCGATGCGAGGGATACTCCCGGGAAAGGCCCTCGCGTACCTCGAGCATGCCCTTAGGTCCAAGTCCGGCGACCCCGACGCCAGGATCTCCGACTACTTCGACGTTGTTGCTGGCACCGGCGTCGGGGGCGTCTTCGCCGTCATGCTTTTCGCCACTCGCGATGGCGCCCGCCCACTCTTCCGCGCTGACGACACCTGGCGTTTCCTCGCCGATCACGGCAAGCGCCTCTTCCGAAAGGCGTCTACTTCTTCTCCGACCTCCCCCACGCCGTCTCATGGGTTCTTGTGCGGAGTGTTCCAAGGCGGGGGCGGCGGAGGGACCGCGACGGCGGCCATGGAGAGGGTCATGAAGGAGGCTTTCGGGGATAGACTGACGCTGCGCAATACAGTGAAGCCGGTGCTGATCCCGTGTTACGACCTGCAAAGCTCCGCCCCGCTCGTCTTCTCGCGCGCCGACGCCCTGGAGAGCGAGAGCTTCGACTTCCGGCTGTGGGAGGTATGCAGGGCCACGTGGGCGGAACCAGGCAGGTTCGAACCGGCGGAGATACGGTCGGTGGACCGCTCCACGACCTGTGTCGGTGTCGACGGCGGGCTGACGATGAGCAACCCGGCCGCGGCGGCCATCACCCACGTCCTCCACAACAAGCAGGAGTTCCCCTTCGTCCGCGGCGTCGAAGACCTTATGGTCCTCTCCCTCGGCTGCGGCACGGGCAGCGGCACCACCGTCGTGCCGGAGACGGACCAGCGCAGGCTACGGCGGTGGGGTGCCAGGGAGTGGGTCCGGCCCATCACGCGGATCGCCGCCGACGGCGCCGCGGACCTGGTGGACCAATCCGTGGCGCTGGCCTTCGGGCCGTACCGGAGCTCCAACTACGTCCGAATTCAGGTACTCCTCTCACACCCTCAGACGCTAACATGAGATCGTAAACCTAACGTACGCCTGCTGGGGGCGGAAGGAGGAGGAGGAGGTGGAGGAGGACCACCCAGGTGTTAACGTGAGCCTTAGGTGCCCTCGGGTCCGCTGTATCATTCAACGGCTGTGGGGATGCCTTCTTCTGCCCCAAATTGGACCAAAGATGTGATCTTTTTGGAGAAGGAAACGTGCATTCTCCCTCTACATTCCGTGTGCGTTGTCTTTCGTGGGTGGGAAAGGAAGAGGATGAGGCAATGGTGGTGAACTGTCTATGTTCTGGTGGCTTCCTTTGCCCGGCGGCGCCACTGGTTGTAATGGTGGTGGGCAGAGCAGGGCTCCCTGATACGAGATCACTGTGAGATCACATGTTGACAAGGCAATGGCATCACCATGGCCTTTCCCCCCTCTCAGAACAGGGGATTTGGGTCCCTGTCTCAGGCCCCTGCTCAGCCTTTTCACGGTTCTTTTCTTGGCAAAACAAAACTTGTTGCTAAAAGTGCAGGAAAAACTTGGTTGTAGGCTTCTTTTCATCCATTATATTTTGTTCTACAGATCATGAACTGCATGTTATGCTTAGTTCATTGGTAGGAAAGATGGCATTGGTGGACAAAATCCAACCTGTTATGGTTGCATCTATCAATTACCTACTTGTCCCTAGATGAACACACCGGGTACCATCTCTGTTTATGGTCTTAGCCGATTCTTCTTATTTGATGCATCTTGGTTTTGATCACAGGCAAACCCTTCAACCATGGGGAGGTGTGGAGTGGACATGGATTGCGACGCAAGCCCTGCAAATGTGGAGGTACTGTTGGGGGCAGCTGAAGAAATGCTGAAGCAGAAGAATGTGGAGTCGGTGCTATTCAGCGGGAGAAGGATCGGAGAGGAAACAAATATGGAGAAATTGGATTGGTTTGCAGGGGAGCTGGTGCTGGAGCACCAGCAGCGGCGCTGCCGGATTGCTCCCACGGTTGCGTTCAAGCAAGCAACTTCCAAGTCCAACTAGAGTTTTTGATTGGCCTGCGAGTAAAAAGCTAATCTTTCTTTCCTTTTCTTTTTCACTCCTGTCATTTGCTGGATCCTGCTGGTTTTTGCATAGCAGAATAGCATTGATCTCCATAGGAATTCAAGACGGTGAAAAGAAATTGTCGAATGTTTCATTACTATGGAACACCTTTGTTGTCTCATTTCATGATGTTTGTGAAGAGATTGCATTTGTTTCAGTTTCTCGGACATTGCCTTCTGGGCTTTTCTACATTCAAGTTCTTGTGAACAAATAAATCAAAATTTCTCTCTATGGTCTAATAGCTTGTCATATGCTATCAAATATGCATCGAGATACTATATTCATCTTGGTTTTCATTCTTCGTGGTAGGTCAAGTAGAATCTTATAGCTGACATCCTGTGGAATAGATCGATATGGAGCATGAATGTTCATGCAATTATGTCCTCCTATCAATCTCTTTTATCATCCCTAAGTATTCTCTTCCAATCTGACACACTTTCCCGCGGCTTCTTTCTTTATCAATTCCATTGTAGCATCAAAATTAGCCTTTTTTTAGTTGCATTTTCAGGAATCTTTTTGTTCTTAACCTATCCTTTTTGAAGGTAAGAGCTAGCCAAATCCACCTTTCTTTTACTTCTCTGCAGTGAAGTGGTCCATGAGCTACCAACAGAGCTTCCAGAATTCATGCATTCTTGAGGATTTTTTTTGTGTCTTCCACCTGGTTCATCTGTTCAAGTAACTTGAACACTGTTTGCCACAAGTAATCAATGAATTCAACATCACAAGATGAGTGTCTTTGTCTTTTTCTTTCAGAAAATTCTGTGTTTCCTGTCACCTCAACATCATCCCTGATTCTGCTCATCACCCATAAATTGATTCCTCTTTAGCAGAGAAAAGGTTAAATGACTTCCATCAGAAGCTCATGGTATTCACTGAATGATAAACTGTGCCTGGTGGTTCTATCTTTTTCAGCAGTAGTGAGTGAGATTTGAACTCAAGTAGATATTTTTACTCCAGTAATGTTTCCATGAAGTTGTGAGATCTCATGGAGCCTGTAGCTCAACACTCAGTCAAATCCAAATCTTTGTAGGAACATGCTTGTACTGAACAATGAATGGTATCAACTGCTTAGTGACTGTGTCACTTTCCTCTGCAACTTGTCTGATGTCTCTGAGCATTGTCCTTGAAGCTCATATTGGAATACTATGTTTTGAATGTTTTACCAGACTGCTCTTGGGTAATCAAAATTTTTTCTTTTAACCATCTGTTGAATAATTGAAGCAATATTAAGCCAAGAAATTAACAAATAATTACTCTGTGATTAGATGAGATTGCATGAGTTTTAATAGTAGTAGTAATAATAATAATAACAATAATAATAATAATATTTTTTTTCTGAAAAGAACTGTAGAGTGTTTTCTGAATCTTCTTTATTTTTGTTTACTATCTATTAGATGCAATGCCTCTTGAAAGAGGGTCAAGTTATATAGGAAAATAGAGCAGAATGTGTGGATTTTGAATTGAAAACAGGTAGAATTTCCCAAGGAGATCAGCATAATGTTCTCCTTAATGCTTCTATTTCCAACTCAAAATATATGCAAATTGATTCATATGGTATTAAACATCCATACTCATATGCATGTGTCTTCTCTGCCAGTGGCATGTCCTCTACATAATCTAATCTGAGAATGAAAGATGAGAAAGAGGTCATAGGTTGGTGTTAGAGAAAGGCTGTGGCAAAAGGCTACTGCATTGGGAGTCTGACGATGATGCACTAACACTCTTCCCAAACTCCCAACATCAATCTTCATCAACCTATGCTTAATTAGCTTCCCTCATTTGTTTCAGAAATACATGGTACCTGCTTCGAGAACATATTTGGGAGAGGACCATGGAAACCCCACAAGAAGCCTTTTGTGGGCAGTGATGGTGGATCTCACAGGACAGGGACAAAAGAGTGTGTGGGGTAGTTTGTGTGTGTGTGTGTGTGGAGGTTCCTCTTTCTGAAAGGAAGAGTTCGGAGAGCCCACCACCCCCATGAGTGCAATGTGGTGGTTTGATTGATCTTTGAGAGTCATGCTTGGAGGACCACTGAGGGACTTTTGTACTGCTGCCAGGGGAAGTTTTACTGTCTTGTTACTGCATCTTCCTCCGGTGGAGGAATGGCCACTTCTTGTCGCCATAGATCTCTCATTGGGAGCTCACCAGGGTTTGTGGGACTGATGGGGGACTTCTTGCTGAAGAACTCTGCTCTTGCTGAGTGAGAATATGTACTATTTGCCCTGTTACTGCATCATTTTGAGTGGAGGAATCACCTACCTCTCTCTCTCTCTCTCTCTCTCTCTCAAAGCTAACCATTCATTGTTTTTTCTCTCCCTTGTCGACAATGAAGTTATAGGAAGTAATTTTCCTCGGAGCACAGTGCAGGTTGAGTTGGATGCTGGACTAGCATCACTGGCTATGGTTACAAATGAGTATAACTATGCATGTGTGACTATGTTTGATAATAGTTTGATCAATATATTTGTCCCATCTAATATATTAAATACATATTTAACCAGCATTTTGCAGGTTATATATATATATATATATATATATATATATATATATATATATATATATATATATATATATATGGTGAAGTTACATTTTTTATAATCTAAATTTGGCAAAATCTAGTACAATCTATTATCTAAACTTCAATTATGTCAAAAAAGAGAGAAATCTTTTTAATATTATATAATAGAAGTCTGTTATTTCTACACAACATATAAACCCTGCAAAATCTAGTATAACATCAAAAAATTCTTATCTACTGAGATAGTTTAGTCCACAATTCATACACATACATTTGGATTATATTCTTACCATGACTAATGTTTCTAAACATGTGTTATGTTCCTCTTGGTGTTGCAAAGAACTCCTTTAGCAAGTGCTATTATTCATGCTTGATGACAATTACAAACATATTCTGTGATCACAAGTTATATAAAACAGTGTTGCCATCACTTGGAAGCAAATAGAACCTTTATACCAAACATATTGGTTGCATTTTAAGGTCAAGTGCACCAAAACATGCAAGCTACTATAGAAGAATAGATTGGAACAAATATGTACTTCGAGTCTGACACATGGTGTTCTAACAGAGGCACCACAATCAAGCTAGCAGATACCAAGAATATACATCTGGTTTGCTCTTCCAAACAACAACATATTATTGTCAATCCTTACAGTCCTTTTTATACTCACAAAACCATGCATCCAACTAAATGGCCACACCATCTACTGATTCAACTTCCAGGAGGCATCATCACACATTGACTAGATCAGCACTGTGGCTCTTGTTGCTGCTCCGCTGTGTTGTTAACCTTGATCTCCAGTAGCCGCTCTACCGGCTGCCTGCATATCGGGCATCGGTTTGTCTGGAACCTGAGAACCTTTGCGCAGTTGCTGCACATGCACTGCAACAAAGCCAACAAAGGAAAATTAGTTCATGCCAGCAAAAGTTTGATTGTGAAAAGCTGATTCATTTCCCACAGCTTCAAAGATCACAAAGTGGTATATACTTCAACATATGAACTTAATATGAAACATTTAGACATTTCTATTGAGAGAGAGAGAGAGAGAGAGAGAGAGAGAGAGAGAGAGAGTCCAAGATGGCATGCTTTACATTTTTTATGATTATAGTTAGCAAGGTCACAGTGGTTTCAGCTTCCTAGGCTTAATCCTTAAAATTCAGATATTACAAGCTGTCAGTGTTGTGATGGACGATAAGCATGCCAAACATGCAGCAGAATAACTTGAAGTGACTGATTCACCGAGTATAACATGAGCAGATACAGAAAAAAGTATAAACTTATGATGTGCTAACCTATAAGAAGTAATTAAAAGCCAACTTTTTATTAGCTACAGATATCTAATGCATCTTTATGAGATGGTTCAAATCCACAAGTAGAAATGGTAAGTGGATCGAGATTTTTTCAGTAAAAATTTGATGTGGTGCGAATCCAAAAACTTAGCTTGAGCTAAGTCAACTTGAATTTCAAAATGCATAAGCTACATAATGAAAACCAGCTCTCTGAATGGCATGAATGAAAACAATTCAAAAGTGGAGAGAAGAAATTAATTACGCAAATACCTTGGTTTACAACCCAAACTAATCAAATTTGAATGTCAAGATATTACAAAAATTTTGAATGCAATTTGATTTAATGTACCTTCACAGAAGCTTATTGGCAACATTCATGATATAGGGGTGGGAAATGCATATCAAAAGTTTAACAGATACAAAAGCAAGTACAAAAGTTTTCCTAGCTAACATGCTGATTTATATAGTTCACCTTCCCATTTGACCGAAACTACTTTTTAAATACCATGTACTACCATGGAGCAATGTTAAACGATAACAAATGAACCTAAGACCAAAAGGAAGCAGCAGGATGACTTTGATTTTTGCCATCAAAACATACACACAGAAGAAATAATGATTATGCTGCCAATATCCATGATATTGCAGAATTTAGAAGCATACAAGGTGAATTAAATTTTTACGACGGTCAAAGTCACCATTAACTATTAATGCATTCCTTTCTAACATGACTAACAACTAGCATCCAATCTCTCTATGAACCAAAATTACCTTCTGAACACTACTGTTGTTAGATTTCTGGAAAATGTTGGCTATAAAAACTAGCATAAACAAGGACTATTTACAGAGTGAAAACTTTGACTTACCATGTGTCTGCAAGGGAGGACAGTGGTATCACGTGGTTCCGAAAGACAAATCACACATTCTTTTCCTGGGTCATTCCCATCAGTGTCATTATCAACCGAGTTCCCTATGCCATAAATCTCCTGCAGTTCATACCTGGTTTGGTTCACCCACAAGATCTGCTTCACCACACGAACATTATACTCACAGTTCTCTTTCTTCTCAAACACAGCCTGGGTAATTTGTGAGTTCGGAATTTCTAATTTCTGGTTCTCACCAACTGGCCCTTGATTACCAGACAGAGAAGCTTCTGCTTTTACAGCAAGGGGATACATACCCAGTTCTCCCCCTTTCATCAACTCGGCCTCATCAAAAATTGAGAAGTCAATTCCTGTCCCAGATGGTTGCCTGAACCTCTGACCCAAACCTTCCTTGAAAGATACTGTGACCGGTGCAAGCAAGTCCTCCTT